CAGCAATATTTAGTCAAAAAAAATTCTTTTAAGACTTAGTCTCAACACACAATTTTTATTTCCTGCATGCCACAATAATTTTCTGCTGAGACAGGCCAATCTGAAAAACCTTTCAGGAACGATCATCCTAAGGGGGAAGGGGATTAACATGATCTTATTCTTATTTTTATTAGAAATAAAACTGAACCATAACCCTGTGCCATTCGCTGCAAAGTGCTCAGGCATTGATTATCATTTGTTTCATAGAGAAATCGAAGCACAAGAGGATGCCCCAGGACAGCATGGAGGCCACCAGCAACAACCAGGCCCCAGCATCTCTCTTGGTTTTCTCTTCCAGACTTCTGAACTTTTTCATGGCACTTAAATTTGCCTTTTTAGAAAAAAAAAAAAAACAAAAAAAACACAAACGTGTATATATATGAGATTATTGTCACTGAGGGGGTTTATGCAACGTTTTTGAAACTCTGTAAGTATTCTGAAACTGAGGAATTAAGATGCTTTTCCGATTGTTTATTTTTTCCACACAATTCTGGTAGGCAAACCAAATTCTAGATAGACCAAGCCTTCCCGTGGCTGAAGAAGAAATGAAAAGTGGGTTCTCACACCCCCAGTAACTGTGAGGGATAATTCCTAATTCCAGAGATGTTATAGGTATAATTCACAGCCTTCAAGTAAATACTAACAGTGGCAAAAAAAAATCCACAACCAAACCACGCAACCAAAAAACCCAAATAAATCATGTAACATTTTAAACTGATTTAAGCCTTACAGATTCCTGAATTTGAGGAGATAGAGTGCTTTTTCATTTGCTTTCATATTTCATTTTTGCACCTATCAGAACTACAGGTGCTTTATTCCGAGTTACGGAATCTTTGCCCATTAACTGTCGCAACAGACGTATTAAAATGCGTGATGTAAAGGAGGACACAGTGATAACACAGAGCAGTGTTTGTTAAAACACAACCTATTCCATGGACCCTGGCTTACACAGCCAAACCAACTTGCATGCTGAAAGAACCTAATTTTTTAAAAAAAGAAACCTTACACCTTGAATTTCAATTGAATACTAGGTCACTAAATGTTCCATGGAACACCTTCCATTCAGCTCTCAACAAAAGGTCTGCTGTGAATTTACAAAACTGTTGAGGCAAACATTGAACTTGCAGCAGTTCTCACTGTTCAAAAAGCAGTAACTCTTATTCACAAAATACAATTATTCAGAGAAAACTACCCTTCTCCCAAAAAACCTTAATTTTATTATAGATAGCATCTGTTGGCAATCACACGTGTACTATAATCTGTCTTGAGTAGGGAATTTTCATCCCAAACTACAGAAAAATTAAGAGAAATTCTACCTTAACATTAGAGTTTTCGGTAACGACTATAGTAAAAGGAAATTTTCACATTGTGTATTCTCAAGCAAATTTTTAACACACCTTAAAATCAAATGCCTACAATTGATGCAATGTATATATCCAACGGAATTAATCCATATGCAGTTACTGCTTGCAATTTTTTCCATTATTCCTACCAGAAGCTTGAACCTGAGAGAACCTAAGAGATACTCCTATGAAGAGATAGCCAGCCTGTGCAACCACAAGTGCTAATCAATAACAAAAGTGTTTCTAAAGGTCCCAAGACACCTTTCTCAGATGCCTTCTGGCTTTTATTTAAAGCATACCAGCTGCAGTGCACCTGTTATTTTGTGGTCCTGCACTGCTCCCTTTCTCAGTGTTTTCAGCTTCTTTGATTTAGCATTTCTGATGATACTTCAAAACTTTTTTCCATTATCTTTATCTTACAGTATAGATTTTTTAAATTTATTCTAAAAACAACAAACAGGAAGTTCTTCAAGTTCTTCATAAAAGTACTTTTAGAAAAGGTTTTCTTATCACGAAAATGTATAGTGATCTCAGTAGTGCAATGTCCATATTCACTTTGACAAGACTAGAAACCAAATAAATGTTTGCAATGATGCAAAATTCAGTGCATAGTCATAAGAAAACAAAATAAATTTAAATTATTATTTACTTTCACAATCTCATAAAATTTCTCATGGCTTAGTATTCCATGAGAAAGTTAAAATGCTAACTCTGTTCAACAATACACTCAAAAACCAGTTTTGAAAGCCAACCCTCTGCATCTGCAAATACTGAATAATGAAATATCAAATCTCAAGGTTCATCATCACTGTAAATAATCCTAAATTTAAGGCTTAGCCTTAGATGGGCAAGACTCCTGTTGTTGTGCCCTAAAAAGAGTAAAAATCATGTCTATGTAAGAAATTGGGTACATCCATATAAGAAAAGTTTCAATTCTCTCTATGCATGCTAGTGAGGCCATACTTATTTCCAGGTTTTGGGGCTCTCTCCTTCTCAAGATTAATAGGGATGAGAGGAATCTGCAAAAGATCTAACAAAAGATCAGAGCCAAAGCAACTGAAAGGAAAGGCTAAAGCAGCTTGGGTTTGTTTAGTTTGCAGAAACAGCAGCTATGAAGCATGCTGAAAAACCCCTACAACCAAAGGGAAGTCACAAAGAATCATAGAATGGTTAGGGTGGGAAGGGACCTCAAAGATCATCTAGTTCCAAGCTCTCTGTCATGGGCAGGGATACCTTCCACTACACCAGGTTGCTCAAAGCCTCATCCAACCTGGCCCTGAACACTTCCAGGGATGGAGCATCCACAACTTCTCCGGGCAACCTGTTCCAGAGTTTCACCACAAGAGCAGAGTAGAGGGGCAGAATCACCTCCCTTGACCTGCTGCCCACACTTCTTTGGATGCAGCCGAGGATGCAGTTGGCTTTCTGGGCTGCAAGCGCACATTGCCGGCTCATGTTGAGCTTCTCAGCAATCAACACCCCAAGTCCTTCTCAGCAGGGCTTCTCTCAATTCATTCTTTGTCCAGGCAGTACTTGTGCTTGGGATTGCCCCGACCCATGTGCAGGACCTTGCACTTGGCCTTGTTGAACTGTACAAGGTTCACACAGGCCCACCTCTCCAGCCTGTCAGGGTCCATCTGGATGGCATCCCTTCCCTCCAGCATGTCAGCCACATCACACAGCTTGGTGTTGTCAGGAACCTCGTTGAGGGTGCACTCAATCCCACCATCTATGTGACCGACAAAGATGTTAAACAGCATCGGCCCCAATACCAACCCCTGAAGAACACCACTCATCACTAGGTTAATGTCAGGAATGCCACTCATCATGGGAAAAAAAGACAGAACCAAACTTTTTTTGACAGTGGTCGACAGTGTAACAGGAGACTAAGGTTACAAACTGAACCCTGGGAGGCTTGGTATGGATAATAGGAAAAACTTCTTCGCAAGGATAGCGGTGTATCATAGGAAGACTCTGACTAGAGATGCTGAAGAAGCTCCATCCTTGGAGCTTGAAGACTCAGCCAAAGCCACAGCTGACCTGATCTAATACTCGCAGCAGAGCCCACACAGCTTACAAAGCCAGTTCTCACAACATACTCCCTTTTAGGACTTAACGAGGGAAAACAGTCTCTTTACTCTAGAAACAAGTCAGAGTAAGAGTTGATGGAATCATGGAATCCATGGATCATGGAATACAGACTCAGGAACAAGATACAGACCAGAGGAAATGCAATGCTATACTCAGGTTCATACAAGTTATTCAGTTAATCTTAGTTGTATGCATATATTTGTATTACTCATAATTTGCTTTCTCATTTGTACACATTACTGCATAAAATAGAAGCATTGCAGATAACATTAAAAAAATACTCACTGGATTGCTCAGTTCAGCTCTCCTTGAAACAAATGTTTAAACTCCCGTGACTTCAATGGGTGCAATTACATACCAGAATCATCTGCGAAGTTATTCTACAGGTCTAGACAGTTAACTGCATAGCATCAGCCAAAATACTTACAGCTTCTGATTTCCTTATACTGTGCCACATATTGTAGGGCTTGCTTGTGTAGCATTGTTGCAGGAGAGCTTTCTCATCAAGAGCTGTAAGATGATCATGATGTCCATCTTCAAACTGTGTACCCTATACAAAACCACATTATTTTCAGAAATCAAATTTAATTAATTGTAAGAAAAACAAAAGACTCCCCACACAACATATTTTCCTCAACAATTTATTTGAAAGTATTTTTTTCTTCTTTATTTTTTAAAGTGTCTACTTCTTCCACTTCATGCTAATTAGAAAAACTAAAGGATTTTTTTTAAGCCGCACTTTCTACAGAAACTGAACTGACAAATCTTGCTCTCTAGTCTTTTCTTACAGCTTTTGAATACTTACTAGCTTTCGATCATACTGAAATAAAGAAAAAATCTCAAAAATACTGTGTTCTTACAAGTTTGGTCAAATAGCAGCAGCAAGTCAGAGAAGGCAGATTGTTAGTATGTCTCTGAAGAAGACGAGCTCATTCTTTCTCTGTTCTGCTCAAGCACAGCCAAGAGAAAGCAGCAGATTTGCCATTATACATACAGCTCAAAGTTCACCATTGCAAAGATGCTGGTTTTTGACCAGCAAAAAAGTTAAATACAGTCTACACAGAGAAAACCCAAAGTATACTGCTGAACTGGGTCTAACAGACTTATAAATCAGTCTGAGGGTATTACGGAAATATCTCCCACATGGGCGATATGAAGAAAATTGACAAAGGAGACTGTGTTTACAGAAGTGTGGAAGGAGGGAACATGGGAAAAAAAAAAAAAAAATCGAAGGAGTAGGTTTTGCTACCTATGCTTCTTTAGGAGCAGCTTCTTTTCAGAGAAGAAAAATTACTACAAGTTCCACTAATCCGACAAAATAGTAAGTATTTTTAAATCTAAACAGGTTTTGATTTATTAATTTAATCAGGTAGTGACAATATCTAACACAGAAAACTGTTCTGCTAGACATTATATTAAAATCAGTCATAAGAACTGACACACATGGCTTCTATCACCTAGTAAGTATCTTTCTGGAACCAGAAATAAGCCAGTCTTGCTTCTTCTCTCCCAGTATACACTCGTCACCTATTTCTTCCGTTTTGGATTAACCTGGCTGCTCCTGTAAACACCCTTTTGATAGGCTTGTAGTACAGCATTTAAAGGTGTCAATCCTTGGAAAACAGATGACATGATGGTGTCAGACTGGTACTAAGAGTGGAATTGTTAAAAAAAAAAAAAAAAAAAGTAATACCACACCAAATCCCCAGAGCTGACAATCTTAACTGCCACCAAACATAAAACTAAACAAAATAACAGAATTGGTTTTTTTCACTCAAGTCTTACTCACAGAATGTTTACTTATGGGTATTTGCAGGTTCTCCGAGTTTTACCTGAACACTAGAAGCATGACTGTAAGAGGAGAAAGCCTCTTTAAAACTATCAACACTATGTGTAAAACAATAAAAAAAAATGTGAAACACAAACTTTGTCTTATGTAAGATCTTCACTTTTCATTCTACTGAACACAAAGCAAGTGAAATCAGTAAACTCATTGTTATTCATCACAAACTTTTTCTCTGAAAAGCAATGAGCACAATATGTTCCCCCAACGTCTGCATATTTAACTTCTCATTAAGATTCTTCAATGGTCACCTACCCTCAGCACAGCTTAGCATTTGACCAGTCCTCACAGCTGTTGCTTACTTTCATTTCCTGTTCCCTTACACCAAAAATTATGTATCTTGCTCTGTACAACCACCCTTTTCCACTGTCTGTTCCACAACAAGAGGAAGTTGTTTCTTTTCACCTCTCTGTGTTCCAGTTTCTCTCTATTGATGTCCCCTTGTTTGCATCTGAGTTTTAATTTAAAAACGCAGAAGAAACCTGGTGGAATTAATACAGCTTGCAGCCCAACTCTGCAGTCCAACTGTACTGGGTCGTATACAGTGTCAAAGTAAAACATACAGTCAGCATCTTTCATTATTTTAACCCCATATTCCCTTCCATTTTAAGTGTTAATAGTTCTCTTAAGGTACAGATTACATCTTTCACTTTTTTTAAGTCCTATATACTGTCATAATTGAACAGAATAATAATTCATATACTTCTATATTTAAAAAATAAAAACGCATTTCAAACACATTTCTATATTTGGAAATAAAGTTTTACCAAGATCTTCCCGCTGTCTCTAATCTTAGGCTGCAAACTCTTCCCTACCAATCATGCTAATCTTCGTGCTCAGGCTAGAGGTGCACTATGAGGGCAAATGCTGCATTTCTTACCAAAGAATAAAAGCATACTTAGATTCTCAGAGCACCTCCACTTCTTACTCTGAAACAACTGAAACAAGCTTCGTATATTTTATTTCCTACTCAATATTAGATGCTGAAACTACACATGCATTTTTTTTACGATAAAAACGTGGAAGAAATTAATTAAACACACATGCAAACCTCTCCAAACACTGTAATGAAATACCAGCATACATTTGCTATTTAAAAATGAAATTACTTCTTTGCCAGCTACCTTTATTGAAGCTTTCGGACACTGGAGGTGGTCTTTTTTCTTTTCTGCAATTCTCTGAGAATACTGCTTATATTCTTCCTTCATATCTGCTTCATACTGACGATACTTCAGTTTATATCTGTCTGTTGGGAATGGCAGATTTTCTGGTATTGTCTTCTGCTCCAAAACAGAATGATAAAGCAAAGAGTAATCAATATAAAAGCCTCTAGTTGATCTATTGAACGGGAACAGCATTATTATAATTCCCTTCCAGTGTAACTTCTGAAACTTCTTGACACTATGTTTCACAGTAAGAAAAAATGCAAATATGACTGCATATTCAGGCTTAATTTTCATTGAGTTCTTCATATTCTGCCATTTTTTAACCTAAAAAGTACACAGGCAAATGGTTTTACATCACTTTTAAAGAGAAAAGTCAAGATTCAGAGATTCTGTCCTTTAAGATAATGTTACAGATTTTAGTGATGTCCCATCACTAAAACGGGAGCCCTGACATTTGCTTTTAGATGGTTGAAAACAGTTTTACAGATTTTTTTCAATCAGAAGTTCTAATATTCTTGGATGGCAGATGAGTATTAGTGCTTGGACTTCCTTCCCTAGGACAACATGAGCCAAAAAGGCTGTGAAGCCAGCTAAGTACCTTCCTAAATTCATGTCCATTTCAGTGGTCTACACAAGGGAGGCTGGATCAGTAGAAACAGCAGCAACGACAGAAGGCCAAGACTCCGTCCTTCTTTCTCTCCCTGAATAAATAACACCTTCAATGTTTAGGTGATACTCCTTCAATCCTAACAAAACTAATATAGTCTCATCTGGCATCTCTACTTGACACATCCCATCCTGTGACACGAGTGTAACAGTCCTGTTCTAGAAAATATTTCTCAAAACCCTAGGAGATTTATGTTCTTGAAAGGGCAGCTTTCTCTTTCAAAAGAGGATCCACATCCCTCCACTGGCTAATTCCTGAACGATAAGACTAGATTTAAATTATTCTTCCAAAAGTGACCTATTTTGCAAAGATTTACTTACACAGTCTGTTATTGAAGAAGCTGGAATGTATCTTGCTAAAAGAATGCTCAGTCAGGGCCCCAGAAGCAAGCAATCCAGAAATAAAGGCCGTTCAGAAGAAGACATTAATATATTTTAGAACTGCTTGAAAAAACTTCTCCACAAAAAAGAAGAGAGGAGAAGGGGGAAAAAAAAAAGTCAGGCAAAAAGAGAGAGAGAGGGAGAGCAAAAGAGGGTAAGTGAACAGAAGATATATTCCTGCACATTCAGCACTTTGGTATTTAAGACATAATGAAGGCAGAAAGGAAGCAACAAGAGATAAAGGGAAGCCGAAAAGAAAGGGAGAAAGACCCTGAGAAACAGACAAAGCCATACCAACCTTCTGTTAGCCTTCCTGCAGCTAGACAAAATTATACGTATGAACTCTATACTTTTTTAAAAATTTAGTGTGGTGAAATTACAGGCATCCAGATTTAAAAAGAGTATAGCAACTCAAGCATGTTTGCGCTGCACACTTACAACGCAGTACAGAGGAAAATAACCTATTCGTAGTTACGTGTTTGCAGTTACATCTTATGGTATGCATAAATACCTATGTTGGGCACACAGATATTCTGAGAAGTAGTACGTTCTTAGTTCATTATTTAAAAAAAAAAAACAAACCACTGCACTATTTCAGTTTTTATTTAAATGCAACTTTTTTTTTCCAAGTTGAGAAACCATTTGGTTATATAGGGAAACATATGAAATTATGATCTTGGCAGATTCATCTTGAGCTCCAGCCAATTTGGAGCCCTGCCGTACAAGTCACTATATTATTCATTTCAAGGGGCACAGGTTATGTACAAATTAATTAATAATTGCTTTTCCCTCTAGGTACACTTCTGTTTTAAACACACTCATTAGAGTATTTCTTAGGTGTATGTACATTAAATATTTTTGAAGTAATGGATTTTTAAACAGTATATTTTCCAACTTATCCAAAATGAGATAGCATTGATAAGTTAGGATATTTCCAGCACTCTAACCAAATAAAAACATACTACAATTAATAAGATTTTTACCATGATTACCTATGGTGAACAATTATGACAGAAAATAGTCATGTAGGTGGCATTCTTCTTGAATTAGTTTAAAGCTAATACCTAATTTTTCAAATATATAGGGACTACAAACAGAAGGCTACTGTTTGCAGTACTTCAGCATTTTCCCTTTAATTATCACATTTGAAACACTCAAAATACTGATGGATTGACAGCAGATTAAAAATAGTCTCTCCAATAAGCTCGTTCTTGTCACACAAAAGAAGTGAAAACACATTACATTTTCAGACCATATGCTATAGTACTCTACTACTGAATTGTTAATGTTATTTTACCAGTGTATATTTTTTCAGCTAATTTACCTCTATTTTATTCTGACAAGATTTTCTAGACACCTGTTTAAACTAAAGGAAAAGAGAAATTAAATATGTATCATGAACTAATAAAACATTGTCACATTCATTTGTTCAAATTTAATTCAGATGCAAAAGTTCAAGGGAAAATTTTTCCTGCATTCAGGCAACTGTAATAACTGAGTAATTGAATTAATTCTTAAAATTGTTATAGTGGATATTGATCGTGAACAGTGCTGTACTGTACTACAAATAAGAATGTTAGCACCTGGACTACTGATTTTCCTTACAAAGCACCTAAGATCAGTGGTGATTAAGTTTCTTAGTCATCCAGGGGAAAAAAATGATGATATGTGGTCAGGAAATTTTAACAATAAAAGTGCTGTGACAAATTGTACATAATTCCAGAGTTAACATCACAGTTCTGTTTTAAAGACAAGAGACTTAAGAAAAACCCAATGAAATGGCTGCACGTGACTCCAGAAGTTTCCTTTTCACGAAAAGTAACTATTTTTCCAGAGAAATAATACTTAACTGTTTGTAAACTTGGGTTTTGTCTTCAATCATACACTTACTACTATTGACCTCATCTTTATTATTTCTGTAAGTTCCACTTTGTTTAGAAAGATAAACCAAAGTTACCTCAAAAGTATGACATTTTTCAGTTGCTTTGACAAATTGTTAATAAAGCTAGCTATTAATATATCTCTTCAAAAACGTGTACAATAAAAGGTGTATCAACCAACAAAGAAGAGCTAAGGTATACAAGAAAACAGGATTTCTGAAATATTCTAGAGGCTTCTCAGTAAAAAGTACTTTGCCAAAAACATTTTTGACCAATAGCACTTGGAGATATGAGTTTAACCAAAAGAAAAAAAAAGAGAACCTGTATAATAAAGCTAAGTATGCTTTTCAAAATTGCTGCTAACGGCACATATTTTAAAGATATTTGTAGCAACAGACTGACCTGTTGAGCCTGATGATGCTGTGCATATGGCGTTTGTAACGATGTTCTCCAATCTGAGGATGAATTTAGAGGGCACGTATGAGGATTATTTCCACTGTATGGTATGTAAGAGTCCCCATCCTAAAATTACCGAAAAAAAAAAAAAAGGACGAGTAACAGTAACTGTTTTACGTTCAGAGTGATATTTTTATAAACTCTTGCAACACATGAATTCTAAAAACTATTCAAGATGAAATTAATTTATAATTACCTCTTCATCAGAATCTCCCAGCCTCCGTAGGTCTAGGCACGGCACCCTGCAAGAAGTTAGAATTATTTTAATAGCAACACATTCTCTTATTTTTCAATTACAGTAAAAGCCAACGGCCTATTAGTTATTAACTCCTTCACAAGATTTTCCCTGCTATGAACAGGGAAACTACATCTCACTACAACTGGAGATGGCCTACGTGGCAAATCCCCACTAGCCCCTCTTGCTTCAGCTCAGGAACTGGCCAGCGAGCTTTTTCCCTTCCCCAGGTGCAGAGCACCCTGGCAGCCGCAAAGGGCCCCCGCACGGCCCCTCTTCGCTTCCAGCACGGCCATCCTGGCTTCTCTGCGCTCCCCAACAGGAGCTGCTGCAACAGGATCATAATTCAGGGATTCCTTATTCCTGTCTTCTACAGCAAGCCTGTGTCAGCATCCCTCTATAATCAGTCACCGGAGAGGCAACAGGGAAGCAATAGCTCCTTGGGATGTAAACCTTCCAAGCTCTTTGGAAGAGATTAACACAGTGGAAGCCAACTATGCTCCAGTATTTTATTCTGTTTAAAGAAATGAAAACATCTCCAATTCATCAAAGCATTTTTGTGCCTTCTGCCTTTACTCCAGGTATACTCCAGAGCACCACGAATACATATTTTTAATATTTTACCACCCATATTTCCAAACAACCCCATTATAACAAGATTACTTCTTGGAATAAGAAGGCTCCTTAATTTCCAGTCTTTTTTCACCGGAGAATTACTGATGGTACACAGAAATTGAAGTTCTCTGACTTCAATATGAATAATTCAAGTTTGTGATCACACATACTTGTAAAATAGTGTAGAAAGAAGAAATTGGCTGTAAGGCCAGTAAACAAAAAGCCCTAAATTATCAAACATGCTTCTTGGAATAGCAGATGTTGCTTATCTGCTGAAGTCACTACAAGGTTTTAAATTTTACAAGCACGGTACAAAATTTCCCATTGCTTGTAAAAACCTTTCACAACAGTTTCTCTGTAATTTTCACTTGAAGACTTGCAAAGAAGGCCAACAGTTGAAAACTGTTTTTCTCTTCTTGCAAACTATTATATTAAAAATATTCAAGAAAGACTAAGTATAAATATGAAAGCTCTGAGTACAACTCTACCGTTAAGCTTAACCAAATGTAAATCAACTTAATTCCAATGTAAATAATGCATCAAATATTCTACTCTAAATATAAGTCATAGAAAACAAACATATGATGACAAATTTCATGGAACACCAAGTTGCATACCAACACAAACGCAAATGCATTGTGTTAATAATGCACAATTATGCAAACTGATCAGAAATAGAAGCGGACTTACTCTGGTGGGCGAGGACCACGAGCAGCCCATGTATCTGCTCTCCAGCCCTAAAAGAATGACACATTATTACATACTTGCACGGATTAGGATTAAAACACATAGTTCTCTCTTTCAACTTCCCCTGGAATATTTAAAATCAATGCCTCAAAGTATCTGTCTGACATATTTGACTGAGATGCTACTAACAAAAGGACAAACCAAAAACTTTTCCTTGAAAGTTGACTCTTACAGATCATGAGACTAAAAGACTGAATATTCATAACGACAGAAAGATTTCCAGCCATTAAGAATCCAGATAGTATCCACATCAGCTATAAATAATGCATTAAAAATAACCCATGTTCCTAAGACTTTGTACAATCACTGCTCACAAGGTTTTAGGTCACATCGTCCTTCTTGGTTGGGAACCAACTCTCAGACAGTCCTTAAACCAAAATCACAATACTGACAGCCAGCTGGTTCACATGAAGCTAGACCCCGAAGAAGCCCTGATATTTGGTATAGTTGTATCATCTCAGCTTTATTATAGCAGCACATGATGACGACTAGGCAGCTTGTGTACTCACACTGTTTATTTTGCATGGCTGTGTCCCACACAGATCTCCAAACTCAACTGAGCAAGAACATAGCAAGAAGAAAAGACTCAAGCCAAAGCTCTACCTATCCCACTACCACTCTCTGAAAACAGCCAGCAGCAAATCCCTAGGGAAGACTGTATGACTGGGGCAAGCACATAGTAACAATTCCCCCAACTGGCCTCCCAGTCTGAAAAAAACGTGGTTCAGGGATGTTCTGAACCAGGGCCGGCATCTTTGTTTTTACACTCTTCAGCTCAGAGATCTCAGCATCACAGTCCGAGCTAAGCAGTTATCCTATCTCCAGTGGCGGCCTAACACCTGTCACGATTTGAGAGCAGTCACAAAACTGTAACTCCTTTCCTGCCACACACCCTTGTAGCCTGCTCCTGAAAAAGAAGTTCACAGTTCAGCAACACTACCCTCTAATACCTTCAAAAAAGGGTATTCAGGTTTGAAAAACCAGAAGGCAGTTTCTCTCCAGGAAGGTCGCACATAATAAACACCACCACCTCGTGGTCAAATATGTAAACAACCGTTAAGAGATCTAACACAATTTAGTCTTCTATTCTTAAGACTAAATGCAATGCATTAAATCATAAGTACATAATTTTTCTGTACCGTTTCAACTGTGATAAGACAAAGAACATACCACATGCTAGATGTTAAAGCCTTAACGTAATTCCTTTTCTGGAAGTCATCGAATAAGGAAGAAAGCAAACAAAAATCATCCTGAAGACTGTCGTGAAGCCCATAGCTTCAACGTAATTTTAATCTATGATTTATTTTTGTAAGCCACCAAGAATCAGATGGACTGTGGAGTCTAAATTTGGAAACTGAGGGGCACGAGAAAGAGAAGGAAAAAAAAGGGCTGAGAGATTAGAGAAAAATGGATCTTTTTTTTCTTTTACAACCTACACTAAATCCTTCAAATGCTCTTGTTATATACAGGTATTTCATTCTCAAAAGATTGGTTAAAAGGTAACATTATAAAATCGATGTGATGTCTTTCACAAAAGGTCCTTTTTCATTCCAAATCAAACAAAAAGGAAAAACAATGACTTGGCAGTCAAATTGCAAGAATTCTTAATGCAGTCATCCAAAAATGAGGAAGTTAAATGGGTGCTTGGAGGCTGAGGAAAAATTACCAATTAACTTTACTTCAGAAGCATAAAGCCCACAGTATCTGTGAGAAAAATCAACTGCTATCAAAAATATTAATATTTACCTTAGCTATAATAAAAAGAATGGCCCTCAGAATCCAAGATCTTATCGTACTAATCAGGCTTTCAAAAGTTAGCCTGAAAGTTTCTGCAACGGTGATCTTGTGAGGCTTGCACACCTAACTTACCTCAAAATGTAGACTATCAGGAACACCTGGAAAACAAAACTCCCCTTCATAATGAATGCAGAGCACTGAGATTTATTTCACACATCAATCCCAAATCATGCCTTTTGAAACTATGTTTTGGAGGTTACTTTACTTTATTGCTGTTTTGAAAAACAAAAACAGAGGCACACCTGTTAAGTTTCACCAACAGCCTGAGACAGCCCATAGTACAGGTTCAAGCCTCTGTTGCTCTTAACTTCCAGCACTATTTCGTCCCCAAGTTCTCCACATCCCAGTTAAGCACCTAGAATATCAGATCTTTTAAGATAGCTGTTTTTATTGGAAATTCTCACCTTCTTTTAAGAAGCTGTCATACTAAACTATGACTTTCTGACAAAAATAATTTATTTAAAAGTTTTCTTCTCTAAAGAACACAATATAACCTCGAACTAAGAACCTTCTGAAATATGATTAAAATATTTGTTAAAAATGTCAAAGTAAGGAAAACAACCACCAGCCTTCCATTAACATACCTGACACTTCTTCCCCCTCGATGACAGCTGAGCTTGCCTCTGAGGGGATGCAGCAACTCCTTTAACTTCCAAATCCATGCAAATTCAACAACAGCCTTTAGAATAAACTAAAGAACAGAAAAGGGTATTGAGAAACAATGTAATTTTTTATAAGTAATTTTGCAAAAAAAAACCATTGTATTAGAAAAAACCTGTCTATCACCAATAATTTGAGTATTGTTTTCAGCAAGCTATGAAATGTTGCTGGCTTCCCTTTTTCATCACCTCTTAATTTCAGTCTTTCCTTACTAATGCTTTACCAGATTGCTGTTCAAATTTACATCTTTGCCCCAAGTTTAACTCCCTTTTTCCCTTACACTTCTCTTGATACCTTCTCATACCAGCATTACTAATTTGCTACCCCTTGAAAACATCAAACCTTTTTTACGCTTCACTTACAGCTGCTGCCTGGCTCTCAACTGCACCTGGTATTTTTAGGAAAACGTTAAGGGCCCTGCCGGCACGCAGCTGGCCTCCGAGAGCTCCAGAGCGACGTTTTATCAGTACGCTATCTATCTCCTGCGCCGCCGGTTTCTCCTCCCACCCAGCCAGTTTTGAACAAAAAAACTACCATTTATTTCCCAGAAATCAGATGGTCAGTTTTCAACTCACCATCCACAAAAGGTGACCCTGTTTCTACGTACCAAGCAGGCTTTAACGCCCAAGTATCCCCTCC